AATAATATCCTGAAGGTTGACAAAGACAGAAGCTCAACTGGGGGGGGCGGGTCAGACGAAGCCAAGCCAGGCTAATGTCAAAGGTCACTCTTTAAGACAAAAAAATAAAACAGCAGAACTTTGACTCAGAATGGCCAAGATCTCACAAGCCAAATTTGATCAAGAACCATAAATTAATTTCCAGTGACAGCATGTCAGAATCTTACCTCCTGTAGAAAACAGACCGACTTCAGTCCAAATGATGAACTCTGCATGGAAGAGTTAAGCTAATAGGTAGCAACTTGAGCAAACCGCTCTTTGCCTTTGCAAAGTCTAAACCAAAAACTCAAATAGACAATTAGCTAACTATTCCCTAAACTAATTATTACTGAAGCTAATTTCCACTTAAACTCCATCTGTGATTTAGGCGATCAACCTCAACGTTATTCAAGCTAAAAGTTGATAAGCTAATATCCATTTAAGCTAATTGTTACTCAACCTAATAGTTGCTAATGCAAAAAAATTAACAGGCTAATGTCTACCTGATGTACTTGTTACTCAAGCTAACAGTTGCTGATGCTAAATGTTGACAGAATCACATCTACCTAAGCTAATTGTTACTCAAGCTAACTGTTGCTAACACTAAAAGTTGACAGACTAATACACGACTTGACCACCTTACCACCACTTTTTAAATTGTTTTACGCTGCATTAAACAACAATTGCACCGAAATATACCACAAACAGAGAACCGGAAGCCATGCTGCTTAGATCCTTAGCCAACTCTTACTGCAGTCCAGGCAGTTCTCCCAGATGTAAACACTGCATTAACAACAGGTTTGCAACATATTGTGCAGCCCGAAAGTAAATTGTACAATTTTTCTAACTGAAGGTTCTTTGTTTACGCACAAGAAAAATATATTTTGAGATTATATCAAGCCCAAAATGAGTCATAGCCAAGAGACAGCAGTGTGTGTTCAGCAATTCAGAACAACAGATTTAGCTCAACTTTATGGCACAGATAACAATTTTATAAGGAAGTAATGATGGTTAAAATACTTAAAACAACTCTCTCAGTAAACCACTCGTAGTTAAATGCAGCAATTTGTATGTTTTATACTTCTTTCTTTAACAAAAACTAACAGCATTTAGAGCAATTCTTGCAATAGAAAACTGAACTATAGCCCTCATTCAACAGTTCACAACTTTATATTTGTTCATAATTATATGAAACCATTTTCTTTTGTTTAAAGGTATGGTCAGATAAAGAGCACAGTGTTGATGAGGCTGCCCTTTGGATGCAACCGATTCTTTTTAAAGGTTATTACCCCCATGGAAGAAACATAAATTCTTGACAAATCATCTGATGCTGAAGTGTTATTCTACCTTTGAATATCTCATCAGCCCCAACTTTAATGAGACAACGCCCATATGCATTGTTTTACATTCGTGCTCCAGTTTGATTACAAATGCGTTTCTGTGTCTCAATTGCTTGAGAATTAAAAAACAAAAACAATAGCATGCGTGCCCTGTGGTACTGCTGGTGTTTCACAATTAAGGCCAACCATGTTATATTTATCTTTTCACCAATTACTGTAAAGGTTACGGAAACTTTACTTGTTTTCTTCTGGGCTTTTCCATCAAGAAAGATGCAATGACTTCCCAATCTAATTTTCCTTTGTTGCAACTCTCAGCCAAAAACACAGACATGAAAAGCCCCAACTGTGGATCCCAAAGACACAGAGTAGCTCTTTGTACCCCGGCTTGTTCTGCTGCATGCCATTTTTAATCTTGGGCAGAAGGGAAGAGAGCTGCTGCTCTTATCTTAGATGACATGGAGGCTTTGCTCCCTCTCTCTGGGGCTCTCTCGTCTTGCTCTTCTGAAACCTAACCCTCTTTTATGCTCTTCCCTCTTGGTGGTTTGGTGGCAAAGAGATCCAACGAATGAGACTGGCTAACTTTTGTTTAGCTTATTCCATCTGAAGTCTGTTACATGATACAGGGTGTGAAGAGGCCGGGTGTTGCCTATCCGTGGTAAATTGTATGCTTGCTAACTCCTGTTGATACTCTCAGCTCTTCTTTTATTGCCCAGGGCCAGTGGAAGCTTATTCAGCAGGTAAAGAGAAGTTATGATTTGGAAAATAAATTACTGCTCCTTATTCCACATCTCTGAAATGTTCAAAATTCATGCAGGTCCTGGCAATAAAGGGAGGTTTTATAGTGCTTTACCCACAGACTACTTCGTCTTTGCTTTCTGTCACGTAGAAATGTTTCAGATTACCCAACAGTTTTACGCGGAAATGGAAATACAGTTTTCTAATTATCTATTTATTCATTAAGAGGGCAAAAAAATCACCCAAAACAACCTGGTCTTATGTTAAAGGAAATAACTTAAAGAAAACCTAGATAACTTCATAAACAGGCTAAAATATCTCAAAACCTGTTCTAAATACCAAAATAGATGAGAAGTAAAGCTTATTTTTAATTACTAATTTGTGCAAAACTTTGTCAATATTCCATTAAAAAATAATAATGAAATATATTTCACAATTGCTTTGTTTCCATTAAAGAAAAAATAATTAAGTCACACCCAAGTACATTTGCTTGCAACTTCCTGTTTTCTTCTTCTTGGCTTGCACCAGTGGCAACATCCGGTTGTTGATCATGTGATGCAAAACGATGGGAATGCAGCTAGTGACATCCATCACTCCAGAATGGATTATATATTTCTAAAGTTTTGAAACTACACGATGAGCCGATGTACAGGTGCATGTTTTAAGTCAATATTGATGAAAAAGTACTTGTTCAATTGGAAAACGTCTTGTAACAAGTGAAAAACCAACCAAGAATTTTCTATATCAAAAATAAGTTATTTTCTTAAAAGAAGCTCCTATATCTTGTAGAAAAGCTACTTGTAAGTCCATTTCGTCTTATTTGAAGTATACTAAGTTATACTTGGAAGGACTTTGTGTTTTTGCAGTGTGCATAGAGTATTATTCGAATGTCATGCATAAGAGGAAGTGGATGCAAATGTCATGAAATACTTCTTGTAAACCAATCATTACCTCTATGTAGGTATAACAGGCATGTAATGTGCTTTTCACTCGATTGTCAGGAGTTGCGATAAAATCTTCTTGTAGGTGTCGGAACAAGTTTGGCCTTTATAAACAGGCTTATTTGTGTCCTTAAAACATCCCGCCAAACCAAAGACAAGAAACACGCAGAACACAAGTGTATCCAATCTATTTCTACGCCATATCCAAGCTTTTGTGCCGAGGCCTGAAGGGACTTGTTTTCCAAACGCCTGCAACTATGAAAGACTTAACTGACAGAGGCGCTTCCACAAGTCCAATAGGTTCAATTTGTTCTGCTAATCATTACCAGCTCCTCCGCCGCAGTAATGGGAGGTGTCGTTCAATGAGCTTCAATGCCACCCTTTGCATGGACGGTCCAGACAAAGAGGGAGCCCCCTGCCTTTATTTTTCTCTCTCGGTTTTTTGTAAAGGGGGGTCCAGTCAAGCATTCACAAACAGATTGGTAACCAGTCAGGTCTTCAAAGAGACAAAGACAACGGGGTGGGCCGCAATGATGGGAGGGTGGGGCGACTGTGAAGAAGAATGACCTGCCAAATGAGAAAGAGGACTTATTGAAAGGGACAGAGTGGGAGAAAGGAAAAACATATTGAACCAATGGAGAAGCTCAACCTTTTGACCATCTGCCTCAGTGGGTGACAACAGCCTTCATCTGTATTTTTAGAGCTGTGCAATACACCAAATTACTCTGTCAGAAAGATTAAGGAGAGTCAATGGGCTGTCGAGTGGAAAAACAGGGCAAAGTCATCCCAGTGTGGAAACTTTGCATGTTTGTGTCTGCAGCAACTTTATGGCGTCAAGGAAATAATTCTGAAAAATTAAAAAAACAGAAGGCTGAGAAACAAATTGTGGAATAAAAATCTCATTTATGTTTAAACATGGTTGAGTACATCTCCAAAATGATTTCAATTTCATCATCCTTTTTCTCCTGTGGAGAAATCTGCAAAGGACTCGACTCTGAAAACCCGTTTTTGCTGCATTAATTCCATGATTGCCTTAAAGCAGAAATGCTATTTTCTCCCTCTGAGCTAAACAAGAATCAGATCTCCATGACTAATCTCCCAGTGTGGGTATTGTGTTCTGGTCTGAACCTAATATCTGAGGCTTTTTCTGCAGATTTAGAAAACTAATTATGCTTTTTTCAGTAGTAAAGTGGCCAAAAATAATGCAGGTAAAAGCTACTCTCAAATTTAGACATGGCTTAAAGGAAGCATATAAGCTTTTCTTCGACCCTTGGAAAAATCTTCAGAAAAGTCTGATCTCAAAGTAATTTTATTGTTAACTTAGGATCAGAGTCCTGAATCAGACTGTAATCAGTTTGTCTAGAAAGTGAGTTTTTGGGGAGGTCTGAATGCAAATTCAAATTCCAAAACGTACTAAAAAACCAAACTCTGATTCGCCTGAAAACCTCAGTCTCAGTCTGAAGTGGACTATTTCAAAAGCAGGAAGTTAGCTACAGTTCAGGACATTGTGGTCAATATATTACTCAGAAAAACAGAGAAATGAGAAATTTATTATCAGATTTATTATCTGATGATATTTATTGTTATTGATTTATTGTCCAGCCTGTCCAGGGATTGGACAAACAAAGTCATAAAGAAATAAAAATGAACTATAATGAAAACCCAAAACGATCATTACCCTGAGTACCACCTGGAGCTTCTCTCCTCTCATTCCTCTGCCCCATCCTCGTCTGATTTTTCACCCCCATTCCTGCCCTCTTGCTATCATTTCACCCCGGCCCTGCTGGCAATCCCACTCCCCTCCCTCCGCTCCATCTACTTTCTCCTCCTCTGCTCTTTCCGCTGCTTGTGGTGGGAGATTGGTGGATTACGCCGGAGTGGGGGGAGAGGTTGTCGTGCTGATTGTAAAAGAGAGGGACAATAGGTCCTTTAGTCTGATTGGGTCCCCTGGTTGGCAACACCCGAGATGAGAGTGCACAGGAAGCCGCTAGAGAGGCAGCATGAGAAAATGCATGTTTATTTATATGTAGATGGAAAAGAGGGGAAACTTTACTGAGAGGCTAACAAGGGACAGAACGCACTCAAGGTGACTTTGAGAGAGATTTTAAGGAAAACTTCAGGCATAAGAAGAGCAAAGAAAAAATAGCAGAGGAGGAGCAGACAAGACAGAAAATAAATAAAAAACAAGGTAAGGAAGGCACTGACTTATGATTTGAGTTTTGTTTTCATTGTTTTTATTTTTCACAAATGCTGTTAATTTGCTTTATATGACATTAATTATCTGCAGATAAGTAAGAGTTTTGCATGCAGTTTGGAAAGTTTTGAGGCTTTAATTCTGAACACGTCTGCACTTTTGCGTCTTCAAACAAGCGACGGCATCTGCTTTTTACGGAGCGTCGTTTGGCATTCAGACCTCATTCCTCAGTCTGAGCCAAGGTTCTACTCTCCCAAAATGAGGACTCTCTTTTTTCCATTTTACTGTCAAACCCATTAAAGTACAGCCTGTCTTGTAAGGAAGAAAATAAGGTACGAGATTGGCATGTGTACCCCGGCCAGAGCGCGGAGACGTTTTTTTTGATATTATCATATCAGGGGAAGGCTGTGAAGATGGGCTTCGGGTTGAGATATCTTCACTGACATTTGCTGCGTCTGACAAAGAGCTTTAAGAGGATGTGAACCTTTTTCTTTCCAAGGAGATCCAACGTAACGCTGCTTAATTAGTGACACAGATTGCAAACTTTTCCAGATGACGCTTATGAACGGTGACATCATTTCCATGCACCAGTGGCTGGGATGAATGCCAGTTTGTGTGATTTAATTTATACGCAAATGACAGTTTGTCATTCCTGAACTACAGTGGCTCTCTAAACTGTGGACACTCCTCTTTTAAAGAGAGTTTTAATGCAGAAAATAAAGCATTGACAAGTCATCTCTAAACTTTTTCCATCTTTAAAATGAGTATTTGAAATTCTGAAAACTAGAAACTGTAACTAGCTAGTTACATAAATGAGTATACAATAAAACTAAGGGTGCATTCTGTCCAGCTCTGTTCAGTCTAATGAATCCAACTCCAGTCCGTTAGTCTAGAAAGTCCGGTTTGTTTGGGAAGGTGCACAATTGGACCAAAAGAAAGAAGTTCTGGTTCCCCTAAAAAACATTGGTCTCGATTTGAGTTGAAGTGAGCTCTGGTACTGGTCTGGAGACCGCTTCAGAAGCAGTTAGTGGACTACAGTGCAAGGCATTGTGGGTAATTACAACCAAAATACATGCACTAGTGCTAGCAGGAGAAATAGCTACAACCACTAAAATATCAATCCACTCCATTTTTATTTACATTTTGTAAAACCAGAAGTTGTGCTCAATCTTCTTCAGAGGTTTTTGTAACGTTTCCTTCAGTGGTTCTTAGTGCAGCACCCCCACAGGCGAGGAGAGGAACAGGTTTTTGAATTGATTAGTAAGACAGAGAGTAACAGATAAAGGTAGAGATAACTTGAGATTTTGAGAGAGATTGATCGCTAGGCAGAGTGAGGTAGCTTGACATAGAGAAATAGCTTGAGAGAGATCAAGATATTTATAGACAGATAGATTAAGAGGCAGCAAATGCTTGAGAGAGAAATAGTTTGAAAGACATTGAGGTGGACATAGACAGCTTGAGAGAGACAGATAGAGAGATAAAGCTTGAGAGAGAGATAGCTAAAGAGAGACATATAACTAGACAGAGATAGCTAGCTAGAGAGAGCCAAATCAATATATACAGACAGAAAGATGGAAAGAAATAGAAAGCAAGTAGACAGACAGATAGTTTCTTCTGTTCCTTTTTAGGAAAGATTATTCTACAAGGTATTAATTTAAGGTGTGTAGCTTTAAATATCTCACTGAAGTTGAAGGACACTTTCCAGAAACGTTTATCATGGTCTCCCATTTTAGATCTACTGTAAACGAACCCCAAACAGGAGTGGAGGGAGGAAACAGATGTTTTAAACAGCAACACAGATGTTTAATTGGGCAAAATGTGCATCAGGTTTGCGGTTCAGAAACCCAACTGGCGCAAAGATATTAAAAAAGGGTAGATGAGAAGAGGAGGGAGGGCAGAGTAATTAGAAACACCTTGCAGTAAAGGAACCACAGGGAGGGGGACGGAGGCTGCGGCGTGCACAGCTGCACGACCCCAAAGCCCCGGGAGCTACCCACAATTAAGAGAGGCCGGTTCAAAGCCAGCGCCTCGGTCCTGGGGGGCAAGGATAAGAAGGCCGACACACAGAGCGAGGTACGTTCTGAACTCTGATTCAGACCAACACAAACAGGCGAGTGATATTGGGAGAGTCTGGTCAGGATGCTCTCTGCCTTTGAAGGCAGAGGGCATAAGAAACTGGGTCCTTCCCCCAGGCGGCGAACGGATGGACCTTTCACTTGACAGAACCTGCATGACTTTACCCAGGCAGACCAATCCACAGGCTGTGCTGCTCATTAAAAGCTGGAAAAGCAATTCACAATCATACTCTACTTATGTTTCAGTGACGAAACTGAATCATGGAAATAAAAAAACAAAAAGGAATTCACAACAAAATGCAGAATTTCACAAAATTACCTTAAATCCAAACTGCATAATGTGGCCATTTAAGATTTAAGAAAATTTCTGACTTTGACAAGTAAAAAATTTTTTACTTTCTTCACTTTAAACTAGGAAAATAAGAAATAAAGAAACTGTCAACATTTGTATGTCAATTTTTCTTTTTTTTAAATGTCTTAGGTCAGCGATGGCAAAAACCTCTGAAACACCAACGCCAAAAAATGAATAAGTAACTCAAATTTTAAATCAAAATTCAGTGACACAAAGTTCTATGAAACAGGATAAAACTTTCATGAGTAAACAGTTGATTGAAAACAAGCAGAGTACCCAGCTAGCTGCGAGTTAGCCGCAGCTGGTTACGTCTGCTAACTCTTGAACATTTAAATAAATTGCTAGAAGTGAGTTGAAGACAAAAAGGAAGCAAACTTTGCTAATTTTGGGGAAAGGAATACTTCAGCAGAGATAAATAATGATCCTGATCATTATTCAATAGTTTTCATTTTCTCCATCTGATAATTATTTTGGTGTCAAGTTCAACTCTAAAACATTTTTTTAAGAGATCCTTAGTTTTGCACAAAAAGCTTGAGTTCTTCCAAACACAAAGTGGAAACACTTTAACACCTTATTAAGCCATTTTTCTGTTAATTCACAGCAATTACAAGAGGAAGTGTTGCCCTCTAGTTAATTTTCTTTCATTCACACCATAATTACATATTATTTGGTTTAATAAACATGGTCAAACCAGAAACATTTATTTTAAAAAAGTGGAATTTGTGCATTTAGTTTTAGATCTATAGCTGTCTCTGTGCAAAACCCCCGTGCAAAATCAATTGTGGTTAACAAATTGGCCGTGACGTCTCACCCCCCCAATGATGGGCGGGTCCAGTTTTTACAGGCCTCTCTTTAAAAGGTGAGGTCAAGTTAAAGCAGACATGGCCGGTGTGAAATCAACATGCTGCAGTCTGACCCAAACAGACCAGCGCCACACACAGAGCCTCCTTTACATCAGCAGATCAAAGTTTGAAGGCTTCACTAAACTTTATGAATCAGCTAATTATTTCATATTTAAACTAAATTAAACAGGAAAACAAATTAAACTTCAAAGATATCCCCATTAAAATGTAAAAACTTTACCTCATACATATATAGAAGACTTTATAACTTATCTGTCTGACGTCACTAGTTTGTGTTTTTGTTGACATATTTTACATGTTTTAAAGATAAATACAAACAAAACTGCTACAGAAACCAATAAGTTTTTATTATTAAGGCATTATTGACTTAAAGCAAGCGCCGATACTTTGCTGAAAGGTTATCAGAGTTAATTATTTCAAGTGTACTAACATACCTGCATTAAAACTTGAGTTTTTGTGTTTTTACAGTGCAGCATCTGCAAACGCATCTCTACTTCCTTATTTTTATAATTCTTTTGGAAAAACATGAATTATTCAAAACAATCTGAGCCTCTGATTCCTAAGCGGTCAGCGTGGCGACCTCTCACGTTGCCAATGTTTGATTTCTGATCAACCCGAGTTTCATGTGTGCAACCGCAGGGATGGCGCCGGTTTCGGCTCATTATTCCCAACAGGTGGAGCGGGTCACATGCAGCTGAACCGTGCCGCTCGCTCGCCGTTTGTTTTCTCCCTCAGAAGCAGAACTCACCTTTCTCCCTGGCGTCGCAGCGGTTTGATGTAGTCTGCTGTTGACAGATCGCAGTTAATGGAGCAGCAGGTGGACTCGGAGTACGATGATACAACAATATGGCCCGTCATTTTCTCACACCAGCTGCTCCCCCCCTGACAATCACAGCCTCCTCCGCCGTCACTCAAACTCTTCCTCCGTCTCGATAAACACCTCTGCCTTTCAGGGCCTTCTCATATTTCAAAACAAATGCACGACAAATTGGATGGCTGTGCGCCTCCTTTGCCATGGTGGCTTTTCTTACAGTGTTTTCTAGATAATAACTTGAAATTGTTTTTTTTTTTTTTGAAAGTGCAGAAGGCAGGAGGGGAAAAACTCCTCTTCGTTGTAAACGTTTTCATATGACTGACTGTCCAGGGATTCCTGCACATGAAGAGGTTCAAGACATTTCCAGATTCAACTTCCAGAGTTCCCAGTTCCTCATGTTCACTTTAAAAGGAACAATGAAAGGAGTAAAGGAAGGAAGGGAGAAGGAGAGATGAAAGGAAGTGAAGAAAAACAGAGGTAGGACACAAGAAGGAAACAAAATTAAGACGAGAAAGGAAGGAGGAAAGGACAGGAAAAAGGATGGAAAGACATGAGGGATGGAGGAAAGAAGAAAGCAAGGAATAGCGAAAGGACACAAGGAAGGAAGGACAGGAGGAATGGAGGGCATGAACAAGAAAGTCATAAGGAGGGAGGAAAGATGGAAGGACATAGGGAAGGAAAGATAAAGAAGTCATGAGGAATAAAGGAATGAAGAAATGACAATAGGGAAGAAGAAGGACATGAAAAAGCACATCAGGAAAGGAGGGAGGAAAGTAGAAAAGAAAGAACGAAGGAAGGGATGACATCAACTAGGAAATTATAAGGAAGGAAGTGAGGAGTGAAGGAAAGAAATAAGGAAGGGAGGTAAAAAGGAAGGAAACAAATAAGGAAGTAAGGGACAAAGGAAATGAAAAGGTAGTTATATGGAAAGCAATGAGGAATAAAGAAAGGACTGGAAAAGGAAGCGAGATGAGGCATGAGCAAGAAAACAGGAAGTGAGGGTGATAGGATAAGATGATGGAAATCAAGGGGAAGGAAGGAAAGACGATGCCACAGTGGAATATGCAAAAAAGAAAGAAAGCTGGAAACAGAGTTTTCTTTACTCTCCTCCAGGTTGATGCTCCTTTAGACTTTTCCAGAAGTGCAGCTAAAACTGTTTGCAGGCATCAAAATGTTCTGGTGGAGCCATTTCCCCCATTTCTTGCTGAAAAGTTACTTGAAAGCCAATTTTGTCTTATTCAAAGTGAACCAAGGTATTTTCACTACATACTGCACCAAAATTACTTGGTAGGATTTTGTGTTTTTGCAGTGATAAGGTAACAACTCATTTATCTCATGCAATATCGACTTGAACCAACATGATGGCGTGTTGCGTGTTTTCCTAGCATCATGCGCCCTTCGTAGGAGCCCTATTTATCCCTTCTGTCATCCATCAGCGGCTTGTGCAGCAGCTGCTTCCTTAAACAAGCGAGATACCATCACATTACCAGGAGAAAGGACTGTGAAATGTTTTACTTTGCACGTCGCCTCATTAACCTTAACAAAACGGAGCAAAACGGCCTGGGTGAAGGTCGCGACCTTTCACTGGGCGTGGCTAGGAGCGGGGACTTCATAATGGAGACCATGCGGCATGAACGGGCTGAAAACGAAGGGAGCAGCCGGGTCGAGGGTCAGTCATCCTGCTAAGCTGAGTTTTCTTTCACAAACACACACCAACGCACACACACATTGGCCAGGCGCCCGCTCACAATGCAGCCAAGCCTCCCACCATTCGCTGCCTTTTGTGTCTCTACCACAATGATTAACTGGGTTTGGTGATTCAGAGAGTCTACAGAAGCACAATGCTCTCTTTTACAACACATAATGGAGTCGGTCCATGAGTCAAACAGTCTGCTTTTCATTCCTTTCCTTTGGAGCACCAAACTTTCCTTTCTGCCCCCGCTCGCTGCCTTTTCACGCCCCTTGTTCTGTTTTCTGCCGATAAATTTGTCCGTTTTCCCCCTCAAAGTCATTAAATAAAGAAGCAGGTTGCTTTCTTATACATATAAGAAGCATATGGAAATGTACAAAGTGTCCGATTAATCGATTATCCACACGATTAATGAATTGTTCTGATAATTAATATAATTTTTTTTTCATGGCATATTGCACAGATTTTCCATTTTATCACTTAAGCTTTGTATTACTTATACATAATTAGGAAAACATTAATAGATGCAAATGAACAATTGAATTAAATTTTTAAATGAGAAAACAAACACATTAATACCCAAAATGCAAAAACATGTTTCCATCAAGCAAACTTAATTTGGAAACATCAAATTGTGCAATTATGCGGTCAGTATAATGTTGGTGATTATTTATCGATTAATCATGATTAATCCGATTAATTGTTTCAGCTCCAGTGAGAAGGTACCGATCGATAAGTTCTCCTGAAAGAAAACTGTGGAGCTGACCTCCCTGGTCCTCAATATGACTTTGATTTGAGGAGAAATGTGGATGAGATGGCGTTAAGAGGCATGAACTCTCAAGCTCAGTCGTAGGGGTTTCTTACAGCTGAGATACAGAGGGAGAATTTGAGAAAAAAAAGTAGCATTCTTGTAATGAGCAGCGTGCAGCACTGAAGGGAGCTTGTAGAACATGGTGCGAGTGCAGCTGAACAGGAGTGTTGACAGAAACACTGCAATCTCAGAACATCACACCCCGGGCCAATTACACGAGGTGTGAAGGAGCGCACCTCTGCTGATGACAGGAAGGGGAGGGAGGAGGAAAGGAGTGTGGCTCCTTGTGAAGACTGACTGTCCAGAGCTGGAGGGAAGCAGCAGCAGCACCAGCAGCAGCAGCAGTTTGCCAGGTTTTCTCCGGCTTTAATGCATGCCTCATTAAGAATTTGGGCAAACTGTTTTAAATTTTGAACAGGAACACTGGGAGGATTTAAAAATTAAGCAAGCAGCCATGTTAGAGTCAAAGGTTTGGTGAAAACAGCCCAGAAGGCCGAGTGGAGCACATTCCCCCCTGCTGTTCGAGCAAACGTTGCCGCTCCTGTTGATCGACTCAGATAAAATAAAACCTGATCACAGAATAGACAATATCTGGTGGCGGTTTTTCCAACGTTAAAGTTCGTTTTACGTTGCCAGGAAAGGTTAGAGTTCCTACAAAAATGTTTTAATGATTAAATTCCCAACTGACAGGAAGGAAGACAAGAAGGAAGGAAGGATCCTGTATATACAGGATGATGTGTGAATGAATGAATGAATGGAGAATGGATTGATGTAAATGGGCTGATAAATTAATGACTGAATGGACAAACAGATGGATGAGTAAACAGAGGATGATGGAAAGAAGGATGAATGAATGGATGGAGACCAATAGATGTATGTCCTGATATAAACTTGTATTTTTGACGTTTTTCCTTCTCCTCCGTGAAGTAGAACTTTGTGAACACCAGTCCGCCGGCTCCTTGCCAGCAGCAGGTGAACGCTCTGGTCTCTTTGTGTTCTCTCCTCCATTCTGTGTGACTTTACTGGGCTCAACAGGATCCCTTCCTATTCAAACACACACTGGCAACCCAACAAAACCTCAGCAGTGGAGAAGTAATCTTGATGCTGAATAAAAGGACGGCTGCTTTATCCACAGGTTTCCAAAAATAAAAATGATGGAGACACTCATCTGTCCTCTCCTTTTCTTTTCTTTTCTTTTCTCAGAAACTCTGCTGCAGGAATCAGAAAATAAGAGGAAATAACACGTGAACAGCACAAGTCTGTTCAGCATCGCTTCATTTCACAATGGGGGTCCAAATGTATCTTCCAGCCACTGTGGGCAGCTTTTTGCTCCCTGTGACCCTTTGCATTTTGACCCTTCTGCCTCAAGGCATCCTGGGTAAATCAGGAGAAGAGGAAAATACCAGAAGCACTGCGCTGCTGCAGAGGGTGAAAAGAGGATGGGTGTGGAATCAATTTTTCGTCTTGGAGGAGTACACCGGACTGGAGCCGCTTTACATTGGAAAGGTCGGTGCTGACTGCCAGTACGGCTACACACACACGCACACACACACACTCAGTATATATATATATATATATATTTATATACATATGACAACATGAAGGTACAACCTGAGGAAATGCGAGGTGAACAACTTTTCAGCGTGACCTTTTCAGTCAGTGTTGCTGGTGTGAAGAGAAGCTCAGTGTAGGAGTTGCTAAGTTGCCAAACTTTCAACCAGAGCAGAGTAACAGATCTTCCAAAGAGCCCAGCAGCCTGAAGGAGGAGGGATGATCAGATGAGAGGCAAAGGGCGGCTTCAAAGGTATAAAAAAAATCCAGATTTAATCCTGCGGTCTTCAGGCCCTCAGCAGTGCTGTCGTTGGAGCTTTGACATACCCCGACCAAAGAAACAGGCAAATAACATGCTCAAAATAGAAACGGTGAGAGGATTATCGTCTGATCTGGTTTCATTTGACCTGAGATGAGATAAACAGGTAAAATGGGAAATTTTAGCAGACTGTGTGAAACTTTAGGAAAGACTTGCTGGTTGCAATTGAGAGGTTTTCATAGTTCATCCCCTTTGGTATTACATTGCTCCGTTCTAACCACATAACGCTGTTACAATCGTGCAACGCTTCTGTATAATCATGCACAGTTGCTTTCTAACTACATAGTATTCTGTAATAACCACGTAACGCTCCTTTCTAACCACACAACATTTTGTCATCACATAATGCCCCGTTTTAACCACGTAACATTTGGTTATCACGAAGCGCTCCATTCCAATCACGCAATGCTTTTTTCTAAACATGCAACGTTTCATCATCACATAAGATAAACTGACCAGAAGAAATTTAGCAATCCATGTGTTTTTCTCCTTCCCTACATACTCTAATACTCTTTTTACATTGAATTACATGACATTTTTAATAATGTTCTAATTAACTGGTAGATACATTCTTTAAATAATCTTGGTATTGTAAATTGTAGATATTTCATATCTGGGTGTCAACAATAGTTCAAACAGGTCAGTCACCAACACAGGAAATAGAAAACATGAAAAATATATAGCATAGCCTCATCTTTTAGCATATTTCTCCTAGATTCAAAGCTCCTCTGAGCTGTTGTTCAAAGCCTGTAGGTTGGGAGATGGAGCAGGTAACTAAGTTTTCAAAGCGCCTTGGAGGTATGAAGGGATTAGTCCAGGAGTTGAAGGAAAAGCTTTGGCCTAAGATGAATCAACATACAGAGGAAGTCTAAAAGCAACATCGCTGTTTTGATTTTAAAAAAATTATGCCTGAGTCTGATGGGTTTGCAGGTTGGAGTGCAGCTGAGCATGAGGTCCAGAAACAGAAAGGGAAAGCTGATTGTCTGCTGCATGGGAATGATAGGTGTTGCAAAGAGAGCTGGTGAAGCATCAGTGGCCTAACAACAAGGAGCTGTTTTACAACTCTCTCTGGGTCTCTTCTTTCAGAGGCCACAGATGATGAAAGGCCAGAGCCAGCGTCTTGAAAGCAGTGTGTTTTCAGATAGAGTGCTGAGCCTGTGAGCTCGCCTGTTGATTATATACAGCGAAGATACCGATGGAGGCATTGAATTTCTCTCTGCCAACGTGATGGCAGTAAGTACTCGTCATCATACAGAGAGGCCCTCTTAGTACAAAGTAAAAGCTGATTGCACATCAACAGGCTGGCATTTGCACTTAGAGGCCACAAAAGGCCTCTGATTGCGCCGCTGGGTCCATAGCAACAAACAGGGAACGAGCTGTGATTACAGGTCTGCTGCCTGTTAACAGATTAAAGTTATGCATGTGACCACACACCACCCCTCTGGTCCATAAACTCATCCTCACTTCCAAGCTGGACTGTACAGGACCTGTCAGTTTTAGGTTCAACAGACATGTTGCATAATGACCTCACATTCAAAATCTGCTGACAGACGACGACTATCACTGGTTTTAGCTGGCAAGTTGTCAACATAACGTCAAATCTTAAATGTACGCATGATAATATAAAAGGAAAATGGATGCAGTGAGTTGATGTGAATTCTCAAAACTATCACTCGACAACAAGGTCAGGAAAAGATTTTAATCAAAATAGTGAGCTAGCCAGTTATGCTAGCTTGACTTTGACAACCTTAACACATAGATGTGTGGTGCGGTTCAGTTCGACCCACACTGCAACTCCAACAGCTCGTCAGAAGAGCAGGTGTTTCCATTTCTAATCTGCTGATCTCATACCACATTGCTAATGTGCTGCTAGTTAGCTAGCACAGGCAGAGCTAATCTAACACAGCGATTAAAAATCGCAAAACAAACACCAAGCCTGAAAACATGAAACTGTAACGGACTGAGTGTTTTGTTCTATGTGTGGAAAATGTCTGCATATTTTTTGGTGTTGCATCCTGATACTTTTGTGGGATTGTAGTCAGTCAGTTGCTATGGCAACAAGTGTGAGTAAACCATAACAGACAAAGAGAGCAAGAAAAAATCTGAATACACATGATTTCAAGTTGTTCAACCATTTTTCTGCGTTTTTTTCCCCCACCATTGCTGTGGCAAAGGGATATTTATATTTACTGTATCTTGCACTAAATAATATCTACATCTCTGGGTTTTATTTTGTTAAAGGACTTGTAGTTATTGGCACACTTCACAGAAAAATATATTGGAGATACTTCAGAAGAATGAATTTCAAATAATGTATTCGCAAGAAAAATAATTACACCAAATGTTTCTTCTTAATCCTAAATGGCATGCTAAATGCCTAAAGCATGCCATTATATCGCCACCAGCCTAAACCAACGATAACAGCCTGGGTCAATGTTTTCCTGTTGTTTACACCAAGTTCTGGCTCCGCCGTTGAACTGTTGAAGCTAAAATTGAGGCTTATTAGACCAGGCATCAATTGTTCTCCGATGTTGGGGGGGCTGTGTGAATTATAGCCTCGGATTCCTGTTATTGGCTGGCAGGTGTGGGACCCAGTTTGATTTTCTGCTTCAAGGCTCACCCTGTTTTGTGTCCAGATGTGTTATTCAGCGCACCCTGCAAGTAAATAAGTGGATGTTTGAGCTCCTTTTTCTACTTTGTCAACTTGCACCAGTCTGCTCATTTAAATCTATCAGCAAGACCTTTTCAACCACATAACTGCCGCCCACTGGTTATTTTCTGTTTCTAGGACTACTTTTTTGTAAAACAGAGATTTTTTTTGTGCTAGAAAATATTAGTAGAGCAGCAGTTGTGAAACACTCAGACCTGTCAATGAAATCCACTTTCTTCCCTGTTCTGATGCTCACTTTGAACTTCACCAAGTTATCGTCACCACAGCTAGAATCCTGAGTGAATCTACCATCATCTGATTCAATACTTTTGTTAACCAACAAGTGTAGCTGGCTGGTAGGTATATGTATCAAGAATGAGAGCAAATAATTTTCTGAATGCATGACAGTGAAAATGTCTGACAGTGGTGCCTGCTTCCTATCTCTAAAAATTGTTAATTAAATTGCAATTCTGATATCTGATGAGCAACTAATTCAATTAAAGGAGAACTCCAGAAGGAAACAGTTGAATGTCTTTGGTCTGTATTTTTTATGTATTTACATCCCTTAAAAGAACATTTGAAGGTCATCTGCATATGTTGTAAACTTTAAATTCAGTCTTAAGCAGATGAAATTTAGGCACATATTGTAAGATTTGATCTTTTGATGCAAAAATTAGTATAATCAACCAACTTCTTGATTCCTGTTCACACCTGTCATTAATCTGAGTTTATCGCCACCTATTGGTTATTTATAGTGTTGCCTGATCAAAGAATTTTGTGAAACATGGAAACCTTCCATAGCATCGTGATATCTTTACAAACATTCTTTCAAAGTTGGCGTTTCTTAATTGAATGTTAAGATTTCATACAACTTTCCCAGAAACTAACTTTATGGAGTTTGAAACTGAATTTATCTACATGCAATCATCCAATCTGGTCCAGCGCCAGCTTTAATTTGAAAGCTTTTATCAGCCAATACTGATAATATGCTGATAATATTGTTAAACCCACATTTCCACAAATAGCTGCTTATTATTTTCCGTTTAAATCAGCTCATGTTTATCTCTGCAGGCATTTTTTTTCTCCAATCAGTCTGTTCTTCAGGGATAGAGGCACATGTTAACTTGGACAGAGATCATAAGGCTGATTTGGCCTGGAAAGTGAATTGGTTGTCTTATCTTCATGTTTAGCAGAGCAAGGCAGCTTTATTGTTGTAAAACTGGGAGATGTGACCCATTTGAATGCCCTCAAAAAACACATCGCCACCCAAAATACTGAGCTTGTGGCTGAATTTAGAAGCATTCATTTGCAGACTGTTGGGATCAGATTGGTCATAAGAAGAGTTTCGTTGCCTTAAAGTGTTGTTTTTCTGCAGCTCCACTCGGACATGGACAAAGGTGACGGCTCCATCAAGTACATTCTGACGGGTGAGGGGGCGGGCACCACCTTCACCATCGACGACAGCACTGGGGACATCCATGCCATCCAGAGGTTGGACAGGGAAGTGAAGTCGCAGTACGTTCTCCGGGCTCAGGCCCGAAACCGCCTCACAGACCGACCTCTGGAGCCTGAATCAGAGTTCATCGTCAAGATCCAGGACATCAACGACAACGAGCCCAAGTTCCTGGATGGTCCCTACCGGGCCACTGTTCCAGAAATGTCCAGAATAGGTGAGCAGAAGGGGAAAGTTAAGGTAGCTTGAGTTTTATCACCAACAAATATCCTCATCAAACCATCTCTTCTTCCAATTTGCTCAGGAACGTCTGTGATCCAGCTCACTGCCACAGACGCCGACGACCCCACGTATGGAAACAGCGCTCGTGTCGTCTACAGTATCCTGGAGGGGCAGCCATACTTCTCTGTGGACGCAAAAACCGGTACGACTGCAGACATGCTGCAAAACTTCCTGTTTGACTTTCAGCATCACGGAAGTTGTTTTTGGGGAGTTTTTTTTTTTTTTTTTTTTTTTTTTGCAGACTGGTTTACATAAGATACAAAGTTAGGAATGTCGCTTTTCTACAATTTACAATAAACTTTAAATTCTAATGAACATCTAACAGTGGAACTGGAAAATATCCAAAAATACATACAAAAACAGAAACAGCTAATAAAAGGAATTATGGATTCTTCTTCAGCCAGACTTTGACAGAAACAGAAAAGAGAAAAACAATAAATTATGCAAATTCCATCCATTAATTTATCATGCAATTAACTGATTTATTGCTTATTGCCACAGGCCTATTTGCACATGATTTAAATCATGTTTACATATGATTTAAAGTTACAAGTGTAGCTTTTCCACATGGTTAAAGAAATAAACCTGGACGATTTAAATTTCTATGTATTAAAAGTGGAATTTGTCTGCAGAAAAATTATTTCTCAATTTGAAACTTGAAATAATGTAAGAAATGCATAGAATACATAATTTCATTCTGTATCTATTTGAAAAAGCTAATCAGAAAACTTTTTGAACAATCCTATCCAGACATGTTCCAACTCCCAGATTAAAATTAGGCATTCAATCTGTATCTTTACACCTTGAAATGATTTGACAGCGATGATTTAAATCAAACTGTCCAATCAGACGGCAGATAATCAAGTCATTTCCTGCTCATCAGGTGCTTCATTTGAACAAACCTTACTTATTTCACCTCAACCGCCAATCCAAATTCAATTTAAACCAAGAAGTGAGCAATTTTTCAGCTTCATATTTTCCTGTATTCAACATTTTAATCTAAGCTACACCACTGAAGAGAAGCTTAACCACTGATGCATATAAAACTACGTTCACAGCATCCTTTGCTGAGTCCGATTTTTATTTATTTATTTCTTTGCATGGTCGTTCATACTACTAATGTATGAATGTGGCCGCGGTCTATGACTCCAAAGCGACCGGCAGAAGAACAACGTATTTTTTCCAGGACTGCATGTGTCCTTTCCGTCTTGCAACCCAAAGCCGAGCTATATGGAGAACAAAGAAGATTGTTGTCACTGTGGAAATTCCTGCAGGTCATTCAGTGTCTCTGTTTGCCTCTTGGTAGAACAGTTTCCATCTCATCTTTTCATTCGTTTTGCAGAACTTTCCTGTTTTTCTGGTGTCCATTTTGTTCCATATTTCTTTTATTGGTGACTGTTTAACTTTGTACATTATGGTGGAAACGTTTTGTTCCCTTTTTCTGACTGATATTCCTGAATCTGTTTTTTGGTATTTTTTACAAAACATGTGTCACAGTACAGGGAATTTAAATTTTGGATCCACTGGTAAAGTAAAAACCTTTGTGTGGCTGCTGTTTTTCCTCCTCTCTGCCACCGTTCTGAGATGTAGCTGCAGTGATTTCAGTGCTCGCTTTATGCCCCCTGTGTAAACCAACCGGCTCAATATGTGGGGAGCTCAGCATGGTTCCTGTTGTTGCTATGAAACTACCCAACGTGTTTCTTTTGTTGCTACATCCAAAAACTCATGGCAGCTGACAAAGAAGACGTGTTAAGCTTAAAAGTGTGACTTTCCTGTTGATAATGAGGACAGAAGGCAGTCTGTAGTGTGGAAAGAGGCTTCCTGGGAAAAAACTTCAGCTTATAATTGAAATCTAATCTTTTATACGTGTTTTTTTAACCAATCTGTGTGTTGGTTTGATTTCAGTTATTTGGCTCCTACTCTGTAGTTTTGGTTACTGCAGAGTCAATCCGGGCTCTGATCATTTTTATGAAACTGTAGTTTTATCTGGAGTGAATCTTCCCAAACGTAAAACAGATTATTGTTGGTATTTTTTTTTATAGAAAAAGGTGGGTTTTATTCCCAGGTATCCACAAGTAGATTGATTCAGAAGAAAACAAAAACAACATCTATGTTTTTCAGTGACTCACCAAGAACTCTCAAAGGCTGCAAAAATAACTAGAAAACAGGAGGAGAAGATATTAAGCATAAAAATCAAACTCTAGACCCACATTATACCTGCAGAGGAGAAAATTGGAGGAAATCTGACCAAAACAAACAAGCATTTTTGCCAGTAGCTGCAGAAGCACAGGCAGGACTTGGAGGAGTTTGATTTTTTTCACAGATTATGTGTCTCGTTGCAAACTGCCACGACATGGTGGCAATTTCAACAGAAAAAAGTAAGTTTCATGAGTAAAGTAGTTTTAAGGGATTTACTTTTGCCATCAATCTTTTCTAATGCTGGACTTCTAAAAACACAATGCTTGTCTAGTTCAGGCTCAGTTTCCTCTTGTTAAGCTAACAGAAGAGGCAACGACAACCTTATTCAACCTGTTGTGTCCAGAGATGCTTTTCAGCACACCTTGCTTGTAAACGAGTAGATATTTGAGCTCCTGTCTCTTCTTTCTATTCTCCTCTGACATCAACAAGGCGCTTTTCATCCACACACAGGATGTTTTCTTTCTTTAGGAGCATCAGTCCTTCTGGCTGCAACAACCATGCAAAGTTCAAAGTCTCTTAAATCCCTTTTCTTCTCCATTCTGATGCTCGCTTTGAACGTCAGCAGCTCTTCAACACTTCTAGATGCAAAAAGGCACTGAGTTGCTGCCATTTCATTGGTAGAATTGCTGTGTATTAAATAATTAAGTGATTGAATAAAGAAATTAAATGAATGCATACTGTTAAAATTAGGATAAGTGGAGGATAAAATCTTTCTTTTGATTGTGAATCGCATGAACTCGATTAATCATAAGGGAAAGCAAAAGATTCCAAGATTTATTTTAATCCCTGACAAAAATGAGTTTGAATCGATTAAATAAGAACCTTTGAGCAAAGGATACTAAAGCTCATGGGCATTTACTGTATTATGTATCATGTATCATTTATCGTGATAAATTTTTAAAAATCCTAATTTAACATTGCCATGATAAATTCAAAAAACAAAACCATCTGTGTTGTCAGGATTGTTATTTTTACTATTTTCTCCACTATCTGTGCAATGTGCATCAATAAATACCAACACATTTGAAATTATGACTAAATGCAGCAAAAGTGTGCAGTTTAGTGACAGAAATCACCTTTCTGTTGGTGACTGGTACCAAAATAGAACCACAGAATATTGTGATAAACCTAAAGTCCTCATCGCCCCCCATAGTGCAGGATATAGTCATTGCCCATCATGATCAATGGAGGAGAGAGTTTGAACTTCCTCCTTTTCAACCTATCTGGGATTTGGGGTCAAAGTTTAGGTGCTACTTCAGCTTTAGACCTTGTTCCCATGGTTACGCAGCACAACAACTGTACTAAAATAAAATAAAAATTAAAAAAAACATAAGAGCAAAAATCCTTCCAGTTGCACAGCATCCAGATCCAGGGGGAACAATTATCCAAACATGCGATTCATGTTGCCCAAGTCAAAACAATCATAAATTTGGCAAACAAAGCTAATTCCTAAAACTGTGCAAAAGATCTTCAGGAAACACTCACACTGAGACGTCTTGCTGAAAAACTAACTGTTCTCTTAACAAAATTCCTGATTTAATGCTGGCATGCAAAAACCTTTTAGTTTTCCTGTTTTATTTCATCCAACAGCTCCCCTGTCAATAAAACCTCAGCATGGCTCTTGAGCAATGAATCAGCTTCCTGGTTCCACTGTAAGTGCTGCCTTTAAGGCTTTTACTGATGTCAACACAACATAAAACTCCAAACATCATCAGCTGACCCAGACTTCTTGTTTTCTGCGTAGCTGTTGGTTTTTATGAAGACTACACTCTGGTGAAATAAATGTGTCGAGTCACAGGGTGAAGGCCAGCTACATGCACCGCAGCTACTGTTTCTACTGTAAAACTTCACTAATACATCCCACACAAACGCACAGATCTCTGCCAGAGCATCCACTGCTATTTGAAGGTTACAACCACCAACTCTTATTTATTTTATTGCTCTTTCATGTCTTTTTTATTATGAATTTAATCTCAGTTGCTCTGTGAAGACTTCAGGGGATTTTAAAGAACATTACATAACAATTAGCTTTAATAAGAAACTACAGGACTGCAAAAACAATATTGTACCAAGCATTTTTGCCTAGTTTCTAGTGCAAATTTCATAGTACACTTAAAATAAGACTAAACTAACTTACAAGTAACTTTAAAGCAAAAAAGAGAAGCTTGTTTAAGTCAGTAATTTCTTAATAAACACAAAGTACTCATTCCATTGGCAGATAAATTCACTTATAACAAGAAATTCTTCCCATGTTACATGGTTATATTTAAACAAAGTATTCTGCTGATGGAACTGGTCCTTTTTCATCAATATTAAGAAATTATTGTCTGAAAGCAAGCTCCAATTTCTTAATGAAATGATACCTATAAGTTATTTGTTTTATTCAAAGTCTACCAAGATATCTGCACTAGAAACTAGAGCAAAAACACTTGGTTGGATTTTGTGTTTTTGCAGTGAACGGAAAAGTTGGGGAGGAAGTTACAGATTAATCAGAGCTAAGCAGAAGAACCACAGTAACTCTGGAGATGACATGCAATAATCTGCTTTTAGAGGGAATCTAACACTAAAAACATCATCCTCATGGTGAAACACAGTGATGACAGAATCATGCTGTGGGAATGATATTCTTCCCATAAGACAGGATGGTGGTCAGTAGATGGAAATGAAATTGGTAATAAATTACCAATTTATTACCAAGCTCTGCACCTCTACAGATGTGCAGTTACAATCAAGAATGGTCCTAAGAAATGTTGAAACAGTGGTGATAAATCTAAACACTTCCTCTGGTTTTAGTCATTTTATATTGCCAAATACTTTGTTTTGATCCATTTCATAAAATAGCAGTAAATAAGATTGCAAGGTTTGGTTGGCAAAATATGGAAATGTTAAAGGAGATTAAATACTGTTTAAGGTTTTTCATGTGTTAATTTTTTCGGTTTTAGTCCAAGTTATGGTTTTCTCACTTTGTTTTTCTTGTTGTTTTTGTTTTTTTTAAGTGCTACATAAGAAAAGTTGCCTTGCCTAGTGAAAGTCTATAAAATTCATGAATATGTGTCACCAAACATTCATTTATGTGCCATTATTACATTCTGTCATTAAAAATGTAACCAGAAAATTTAAAAGATGAAAGTGAACTATATTTCATGGGCACATTCTGGAGAAACTCTCGTTCTGAGCTTTAATTGACCCCGTGACCTTTGGTTTCTGCGCCCAGGTGTGGTCCGAGTGTCCTTGGCAGACATGGACCGGGAGACCAGGGAGAACTACACCATCCTGATCCAGGCTAAAGACATGGGCGGACAGCTGGGGGGGCTGGCGGGGACCACCACCGTCAACATCACGCTGAGCGACGTCAACGACAACCCGCCCGTGTTTGACCAGCGTAAGCAAAACACCGAGTGTGTTTACGATGCATCTTCACTGCCATGACACACTTTATTACCTGTCCTCGAGTTTTTAACAGCTCATTTAGTGTAAGCAAATGGCTGCTTGCACAGCCTGCAGCTTTGAATATTTGAAGCTGCTGCAACACACCTTTGTTTTTACAGAGAGGTATGCTTCGAGTTTCCTATAAAATATAAAACAAAGCTCATTTTGGGCAGTATTTTGTAAAATTTAATTTTTCCAGCTTTCCATCATGCTGTAATGTTATTCCCTTACCAAAAACATTCCTGGAGTTTTTCTTTCAGTCACATTTAAGAAATCCTATAATCTCAATGGCAACCATTCAGCTGTGCAAAACACCTGGGTGGACCTAACTCCGCCTTCGAAACATAGCTCCTCCCCCACTGAGCTCCTTCAGACTAGCCAGGGGCAATTAGCAAACACTTGGTGAAACTGCACGTCTGCTGAGGTCATCATAGGAGGCACTTCTCAGTGAAACGCTGGTAAAAACATTGTTAAAGGGTTTATAGAGGAGCCATGTTGGGATGATTCCCTAAAGTCGCAGTTTCAGAAAGGGCAGGAGTTTTTAAAGAGACAGAGGCCCAAATTCAAGCAATTACAATACTAACGTCAAACTTTAAGTCATATTTGAGATATATAGAAAACATTTTTATAACTAAAGGTAACACAGTGATTTGATTGTGCCATAAAATGTAATTATATTCCTTGAAAATACAAAATACTGCCACTTTAGCAGGACATAATAACCTCTATCTGAGATGTGCTCCACTTCTTTCTAATCAAACCGATTAGGAAATATTCATGGGATCCAGAACTACATAAAACGTCTCAATTTCAGCCCAGTTTTTTTTCCTAGCATCACTCCTCAAATTACTCACATCATGATGGTTATACAGTGGGTTGTGGCACTTTGAAAGTGCTTTATAAATAGTTATTATTAATAACTTCAAACAAAGTGTTAAACATTTTCAAGAAGATAAAAACACTATATATTAAAGATTTGCAAATTGTTGAGCAAAGTATTCACCCAAGAAATTAAGGGAAAAAAAACAACAAAATGTTTTAACTTGATAAAAATGTTAAGAAGTTGTTAAAAAGTGCTTAAAATGGGAAGAAATTGGTGTTATCATGCCAAATACAGCAGAGTGTTAAACATAATCACTGCTTGCTTTTACTTCATTCTAAGAAAATCACAAATTCTCCCTGGAGTGCAGAAAGCGGCAGTTCTTACCGTGAAAGTTCACAAACCCCTCTTTTTTGATTCACTTAGCTGCTTTTCTTCCAGAGAGAAAAATGGAACGTGTGAGCGCAACAAAATCCGATTTATTTTCTGCCTACTTCAGTTCAGATTAACAGGCATCAACTGGCAACAAGTCATCAGGAGAAATTACAATAATAAGTGTATATCATCAGCATAGATGTGAACATTTCAAGTTTTTTATCTTGAAATGTATAAATAACAGAAGGCTCTATGGCTAGATTCTTAACAGTCTTGTTTAATCCACTTTAATCCCACTCCAGTTTTTTGTCAAGAAAGTCCAGTTTTTTTGGGAAAGTGTGAATGCGCAATTGGAATAAAAAAGCGAAGTGTATTTTTTGAATGCATATTTGAACGCCAACCCAACCAGGAAGCGTACTATGGTGCAGGGAATTCTGGGTAAATACAACCAAACCAAACCCACAAGTTGAGCATTAGCAGGAGAAATGACTTATGATCATTTACCAAAGACCAATGAAAGATACTACAACCGCCAAAATGTCACACTACTCTGCTTTTGTTTCCAAGAAGGAAGTTGAGCTCAGTGCCATTTCCTTCATTAGTTCTTGGTGGAGTGCCACCACAGGCAAGGAGGGGAATTAGCTTGGTTTAATTGGCAATCCAGTGTGAAAGAAAACAATATGCAACAAATGTTGCAACTTTGGTCCACAATTATACCAAGCCTACCAGACTGTGTCAGACTGCTAATGTTCTGAATAGATTGTGTTTTTATTCTTCACTCAGTGATGCATTTCCTTCCCAAAAAGCATCCAGCTTCATGTTTAACTTATGATAACTCCCCTTTAAAATCCGGGGTTGTCTCTGTTTCTTTGGTCATGTTCAGATGGCTGAAAAAAAAAACTCACCACCCACTTCTTCCTCCTTCACAACTAATTAGCTCTGACCAATTAGCACTGTCACTTAGTGTAGGTGTGATCAGCTGCCCGATCACACCACTCTGGGCAGCTGTCACCTGTTTTTTGACATTAGGCGGTAGATGAAGCCCTCGCCGGCCCATAAGGCAGCGTATCAGGAGTTTATGGAGCCATTTATGTTTCTCTGATTTGGAGTCAAGCTGCAGTTCCGATACAAGGAAGGTGTTTGGCTCCCTCTAGAGGACCAATGAGTGAAACGTGGCTGGTTTGTGTTGTCAGGGTTGTATCAGATGAGCGTGCCGGAGTCGGCCCCCGTGGGCTCGGTGGTGGGCCGGATCTGGGCCAAGGACAGGGACATTGGGGTCAACGCAGAGATGAAATACAGCATCATCGACGGAGACGGGAGGGACACGTTTGACATCAGCACGGACGCCACCAACCTATTTGGCATCATCACCATAAAAAAGGTAAATATTTCAGTACAGATATTGATTTCCTTAAAATAAGTGTTGATGTTTTTTATTTTGCTCATTTCTAAACCATATATAATCCAGAGGTAGCCATTGCCGCAACAATTTACTGCATATTTAAATTACTAAGTTATTTAAATATCATTTTATCACAAGCAAAATAATTGTTTCGGAGAAGCTAAAATTGTTATTTTACTGAATATTTATGTAAAAATATAAAATTATCTTTAATACTTGCAAATTTTAATACAAATTATAACATGAAATGAAGCATTTTTTTTTACCTTTTAAACCAGTACAAATAAATAAAATATGCATGACATGTTTCCACATCTATGAGTATTTTAAAATTTAACAATAAATCTTTTAAAACATATTAAATTGCAGCTTTTAGTTAGATATGTGTATTAGGAGAAATTAATGAAAAAAGGATGTAATTTACAGAATTATGCATGTCATTAAATTATAAAAAATGTAAAAGTTTAACACAAAATATTATTGAGCTATTTTCCAAAAAGTTAACATACAGTATAAATAATAAAAATAAACTTACTTGCTTTTAATAAAAAATAACTTACTAAGTTATTGTCCCACTTAAGGGCTTAAGCCAAGTTCTGCCTCATTTAGTTAGTGGCATGAATGAAATGCAGCCATTTTGCTTTCTGTGCAAATCAAATGCCATAATCCAGATTATCTGCTTCTCTGCTCAAGCCGTTAAACTTTGAGAACAAACCAAGCTACACCCTGAAGGTGGAGGGAGCCAACACCCACCTGGACCCGACCTTCCGGCACCGCGGACCCTTCAAGGACGTCACCATCGTTCACGTGAGCGTGGAGGACGTGGACGAGCCCCCGCTGTTCGGCTCGCCGTCGTACTACATTGAGCTTCTGGAAGACGCCGAGATCGGGACGGTGGTGAAGACGGTGTCAGCGCGAGATCCTGATGCTGCCAACAACACAGTGAGGTGAGAAGAAAAACACATTCACACTTCAGTTTTTCATTTTCTCCTTTTACAAATTCACAGTTTTTTTTGTGATTATTTCAGGCAGCAGTCAGACAGGTTGATTTACGTCAGTTTCCCAAGACTACAAAAGTTCTTTGGGTTCATTTAGATTTTCTTCAGATAAAGTTTACAACAAATGTAATTTCACTTCATCTCAACATATAAATAAAAATAAAAAGTCGTTTTTCCAAAAGAAAATCTTCAATTCTCTTATTTTTGGCAAATACAAAGAAAACATTCAAGGTGCATTCAAATGCAAATGTCAAAAAACAAGATATAAACAAAGCGGTTTCAAACTTATTGCAACTGATTTCTATTTAAAAACAGAAACATATTGAAACTAGCAAGTATTTTTTTAAGGTCAGAATTAAATATTGCTATAATTTAAGCAAATTAACCAGACTCTAAGTCTTTCAATCAGTTTCCAAATATCCAAGGGCTTATATGTAATGTTACCTTTGCACCACCAGAGGGCAGAATTATAACACACATTAAAGCTGATCACAGCTGAAGCCTCATAAAGGAAAAAACACTGACCAATATCTGCTTTTTGCTGATAAAAATAACCAGTTTGACCAGTTTGAAATCTAACCAGCACACAGCACTGACTTGTTGTATTTTATAAAAAGATGTTGGTGTTCAGATTGATTCATTGGTTCATGAACTGATTAGACATAAATCTATTAATTAGGTTAATAGTGATGGGAAGGAATCTCAGCTCCCCTATAAAACTTCAATTAGCTTCAAGGTTAACTAAATTAAATTTATCATACATTTTTTTCTTAAATCTGTCATTTTGTGTCACAAACCCATTAATTGCCTGTCGTCTCAATGTAAAGAGAAAAAGGTAGCAATTTTAAATGATTGTTTGTATATCAACATGAACATGTTTGTCAAAATGTAATTAATGGGTTAGTATTTTTGTAACTTTTTTTATTATATTATCATATACTAATATTTTTTGTTCAAATGTAATTTACGGGCTAGTATTTTGTTATGTTGTCTTTATTATTTTCCAATGCTTTTAATGAAAAAATATCTAAACATCTAATAAGGAATGTCAAATTAGTGCCACATTAAAGCATATTAGAGTGTTTTGATCTTTGTGGATTATTTTAGTTAAACTTAGTTTAAAAAGATGCAGTGATAATTTAATACATACTTTGTACATTTTTGCTCTTAAACTTTAGAAAATAAATATTAACAATAATCTCCATCTCTGATTGATAGGACCATTATTTTTTTAAACTATTTTTTCAGCATTACACCAGTTTCATAATTTTTGAAGGTTTTTGACTAAATTAATAAAGTTTTCTTCTTTAATCATGGCTTCTTCGTGTCAGTTTGCTGAAAAAAGGAAATAATTCAGCACCATTTTTTCTGTATCGGATTGGTATCGGATGAAATTAAACCTCAGATATCTGTATCGGTATCAAAAGTGAAAACAGTGGATCGGTGCATCCGTGTGCATTTAAGTATGCAGAGCAGCACAGCAGCAGTTATCAAATTAATTTGTGATTCAATCGATTTATGTCTGTGTTTAAAAAGAAACATTTTAAGTCAATTCAACGCTGTTTTCCGATATTGCATCGTATCGGACGATACTAAGCCTCAGATAACGTTAAAAGTATCGGAAATGAAAAAGTGGACCCCAAGTACATACTTAAAAATCCACAATAGGAAAGAGTTAGTGAAATTTTCCTTTGTAGAAATGATCTCACTTTGAGAATCTCTCATATTCAGTTGTCAGCATCCTGCTCCTTCCTCTGGGTATCTTGCTTGAGCTCGGCTCACTCAGAGGAGTTGTTGTTGGAAATCGGCCCAAAGTGACAGAAGATGAGCCAAAGCAGCTCTCTGCAGGTTTGTGTTTTCCTGCCGCCTTTTTGGCACGGGGAGCAGATACTCTGATTAAGCCTCCGATCAGGAACGCCGTCTCCTTGCTGCGCCTACAGGAGCTGCCAGACGCCTTATCTCCCCACCGCACACACGCATGCACACGCAGCATCGGTTATGAGCGCGCGGCAGCCCTCAGATAGGATTACAGCACGCAGAAGTGCACTTTATACAGCACTGATGTGTTGATATCACTGCAAAACCAAATCTTATTCTAGTTGCTAGTGACTATATTCTAGCACACTCGACATAGAACAAAACTTTGTAATAAAATTAATCAAGTAAAAAATACAGCAGAGTAAAAATACTCCTAACATTAAATTTTTTCAAAAAAGCAAAACTAATTGAGTAAATGTAACTAGTTACTACCCAAAAACGGGACAATATTAAGTAAATTTTTCTGCCAGTGGAACAAGTACTTCATCAATATTAAAGAGTTATTGACTTCAAACAAGCACTAGACCAAAAATTCTTGATAAGAGTTTATTTGCAGTGTACCCATTGTTTGAGGTGCCATTTTTTGGTTTACAGATACTCCATCGACAGGAGCAGCGACCCCGAAAAATTCTTCTACATTGAAATCACTTCTGGGACGTTGATGACGGTGCGTTCGCTGGACAGAGAGGAGGTGGGATGGCACAACATCACAGTCCTGGCCATGGAGATGAGTGAGTAGAAAATAACCTACAGCAACTCCACCAAAATCAGAATGTGACTCAATTTGTAGCAGAAATACTTCCTAAATATCAGGCTTTCTCAAACTGTGGCCCCCCAGTGGTCTGCAGTTTCTAACTGTGCATAGAAACGCCACAGTTAGCTTACAAAAGATTGCGTTTAAACGTAAGTAAAAATAAGAAAAACTTAAGATACTGGTGGAAAGAAAACAACCCCAGGATTACTTATGTGACCAAAGGAAGTACTGATGTGTCATTCACAAATTATTCAATTATTTTGAACAGTTCTCATTCTATGCCATAAATGAGTCCCAGTTGATGAGGATTTTTATTCTTTATTACTTTTTTATTCTTACTTATAATGCTCTGCTCGCACGCCAACAGCTACTGTTCTTATGTAATTAAAAAATATTTCTATTGCAAATAAAATAAATACAATTGATAGAAAAAGATTCTTTTCTCCTGAAACAACCTGAATCTATTTTTATTTTATAATTTTTCTAAGTTAAAAAAAGCCCTAAAATGTTACTAATACACACAACACAACTTTTGATTTTCATATGTTTGACATTATTGGAAGGTTTAGAATCCACACTTTCACATTCCTGGTTTTGTCTTGGCCAGTCACTTTCACAGAAAACCACCACACCTCTCATTAAGATGAACAAAGAAACAACAATAAGATGTGTTAATGCAGGGCAATTTCAATTTAAATGAGTGTCTGTTAAATGGGTTAAGTGGTCCTGAAAAAGTTTAACACTGATATAGAATAACTGCTGTTGCACAACAGCAGACGCACCAAGTCACCTTCATCCATTGGCTTTGTTTGTCTGGAAGAGTCTTTGTTTGCTCGACACACCTTAAAGGAGGCGGTAATGGAATCACCGGCTGATTAAATAAGTTCTTGTGTGGCGGCTCTTTGTTGTTGTTTCTTTGTTTCTTTGTTCTTGTGAGACGTTGAGGGCAGCAGTAGGAAGACCTGGTGAGGCAGAGCGTGTCAGGAAGGAGGAAACGATGAAGAGGCAGAACGAGAACCAACAGGGAGAACAGAGGGGAGCCGATTGATTTAGAGAACAGACAAAATAAAGTTACAGTTTTACTCTCAATGCTTCTTTTTGCTCACAATGCAATAAAAAATAATCTGAAAACAAGATGGATAAATAGTTACGATCACCAGTAATGATTATTAATCAATATGAAAACTAAAGCACAAATATCGGAATGCACCTCTTTGCGATTATCAATCACAAAAAATCACAAATAAGTAGATTGAAGGTTAAAGTTATGAAGACACAAACTATAGAAAAGTTTAAAAATACTTTTTCAAGATGCATTTTTAGTCAAAGGGAAAAAAATCAAATTGTATCAGCAGCAAAATAAAAAAAAATGACACCCTACTAGATTTTTTTCATTTGAGAAGAAATCAGTAAATGAAAGAAATGTTGGCATTTAAAGTAGGCAGAGCGAACCCACTCTGTAGGTCGGCCACTATTAGACCCTGTGGAGCTTTGACCTCCAGAATCAAAGTCACATTGCTGACTGATCGATCGTGTGATGAAACCTGAGAAAGTAGTTACCGCCCTCTAATTGTATTTTTATAGCCCATTACACAGTTGGTTAAGGTATGCAAATCGCTGACTGTAATGAAGAGTAATAGAATTGTGATGGGAGCGTGAGAAGCGGTAATGTGCTGCGGGTTGGCAGTAAATGAGGGGAAGATTAAGCAAGTCCCACCGGGAGCTCAACACCTTACAGCATCTTGGTGTTTTTTGCAGATAACCCCACGCAGATCGCGAGCGTGTCTGTGGCTGTGAGGGTGCTGGACGTCAACGACAATCCACCGTCGCTGTCGCATTACTTGGAGACGTTTGTGTGTGAAAACGCCAAAGCAGGACAGGTACAGACCAAAGTTACTCTTCTAATGGTTTGGTTCATTCACACTTACACAAGTTAAGAGTTGTGTTGAATGGGCAGCATCGTGTGATTCTTAAAACATGCAGTTTGAAAGGTGTCTTGCTATCTCCACCAGCTAACCAACAGCTTTTTGGTGTTAAAGATTGACAGAAATTTTGAAAATATGACTGTACTTATGTGTTATTGGACAATATTATTGTCAACACCAGCTGTAGTCCTAAAAAGGCAAACAATAAAATAAAATCAATTTTTTTGCACTTCAGTGGATCTCAAACAAATTGTGCAGAACTGGTTAAATTTAAAAGTAGGATAGCTTAAAAAGAAATATTACCTAAAACAGTCCATAATCATTCAATAGTCACTAATCAGCAGTAAGCAATAGTTCAAATTATAAAACGAGCTCAATAATTTTCATTTGCATGATTTATTGTTTTTCTCTTCTCTTCCTACCAAGAACATTAACAGTAACATTATTACTGGAGAATGTTCTGTTATTCCATAGTCATCCAGTAAAATCCAGTGAAACTCTGCGGCTCAGAGCAATAATCACACCTGTTGCTTTGTTCCAGCTGATCCAGACCGTGACGGCGGTGGATCCAGACGAACCTCTGGGGGGCCAACGCTTCTACTACAGCTTGGCTCCGGAGGCCGCCAACAACCCCAACTTCACGCTGAGAGACAACCAAGGTAGATGATCTGAAACACTGAGTGTGGCGGCGTCAGCTGCATGGAGCCGATCCCAACTGTCCCTGCCGCTGCCAGTACAGGACAAACGAAGCTCAGGCAGCTCTGCCTCTACTGTCTACTGTACGAAGGCAACTGCAAAAACAAAATCTTACCAAGTAGCTTTTGTCTGGTGTGCAGATTTCTAGTACACTAGAAATAAGAAATCAAATTTACAAGCAACTTTTCAGGAAGATAGAAGAGTTTGTTTTGAGGAAATAATTCTTTCATTCTCTTGAAAAAGTGTAATGTTAGTACACTAAAAATAAGACAAAACTAACTTATAAGTAACTTCTCACCAGGTTCAGGAACTTGTTTTAAATAAATAATTCCTTAATATTGCTAAAAATAAATACTAGTTTCTCTGGCAAACAAGAAATTTTTCCTGTGTCATAAGTGAAATAATTTGCAACTGCAACTGGAACTTCAATAAATCAATTGCCTGATACGTATAAATGAACTTTACCATTTCCATCCTATTGATTATTTTACAGCAATTTCATCTACAGATATCATCCATTTTATTTATTGTACTGATTTCTGTTTTTCTTGTAATTGGTCGTCTTGCTTGTTTTTCTTTTTTTTAACAGTACCCGCTCCACATCTTGCTAAAAAGTTACTTGTACATTAGTTTTGTCTGGTTTCAAGTGCACTAGAAACTACACAAAATACTTTGTAAAATGATGCGTTTTTGTAGTAAACTTACAGCATTTTCAGTTTTTAGGTCTTGCGTTTAAGGAAATAAGTAACTCTCTATAGTTTTTACCCAAATTCAGTGTGAAATTAGTTTTATAGATTCAATTTCTACCATAATAAAGTACTAAAAACTAACATATTATTAATCTCCTCAATCAGCTGCAGTATGAGCATCTTATAAGTGTCGCTTGTCTGTAATGTCCCTGAACAACCATCTCTGACTAATTACTATGAAAACTGCAGATACTTCATCCCCACTCATTCTAGGGCTGCAACTAATAATTATTTTAGTAATCAATTAATCGGATGAAAAACTGGCGCTTTCTGCAGATTTTTCATTTACCCAAAGACTTTTTTTTTTACAATATTAGAAATAGATTAAAAGTTGCACAAAAACAATTTAATTAGTTTTTTTAATAAGAAAATAAGCATTCTAAGCAGTAAAATGTTTGCTAAAGCTAAAAAACACTTGAGTAAAGTTCAGGCTTTGCTTGACTTGTCAATGCCATGTATTGCTGATCTGTTGATAATTTTATATTGATTAATAATTGGACAGAACCACTGACAAAAAGTTTGACGTGTAACCATGGCCCTTGGTAAAATGTAATGTTTACTCCGTGTGCAATATGTCGTCTTCAATAACTTTGTGTTTTTATCAATCGAGTCAAGTTTATTTGTATAATACATTTGAGCAGCAAGATGGTTCAAGGTGCTGTGCATAAAGAAAACAGACAATTATAGTGATAAAGAAAACACCATACAGTCAACAATTGAACAAACATTACATTTTGATAAGTGCCATCATTCTAATTCATGCACATCAAATATGTTGGTCAGTATTTCATTATTATGGTTTCTATGGCGTAAAGCTCTTTAAACTGCTTTGTTGGTGAAATGTGCTGCACAACTAAAGTTGGTTGAAAGCAAAAGTTGCTTAATGGATTTTTTTTTTTTTTTACATAATTTGAACCTGGTGAAGCTAAATCTGAATCTGCCACTGTTTCAGATGAATAAGTTTTATCTGCAACATATTTTCAGATAAAAAGGTTTATTTTATCTTAAATGCATATTGTATGAATTAACTGTACAGTTTTGGTTCAATAATTCCTTTAACTGTGTTGTTTTTTCAGCAAATGAGCTTTTATTTAGTCTTTGTCGATTGCAAAATCAGTCAACGATAATTTTGACAATTGATTAATCACGATTAATCGTTTCATCCCTAAAAAATTCAGTGACTCTTGAGCTTCTTATGATTCATTACTGTGAAAAATTATTATCCAGCTCTAAAAACCTCAAGAGGTCTCCAGTAAAAAGAGATCTATTGATAAAGGTGGCTTTAAAAATGTCGACCGAATGCTGGACTAAGATTTTCACCTTCCCTACAGTCAGCTGTCAGAGCTGAACCTTATCTCTGCTGTCTTCAGACAACACGGCGTGGATCCTGACGCGCCGCGGCGGCTGGTCCCAGCAGGACCAGACCGTCTTCTACCTGCCCATCTTCGTGTCCGATGGCGAGCAGCCGATGCAGACCAGCACCAGTACTCTGACAATCCGGGTGTGCAGCTGTGACCAGGAGGGAAACGTCATGTCGTGCAACGCCGAGGCCTACAGCCTGCCTGCCAGCCTCAGCAAAGGAGCGCTCATTGCTATTCTGGCCTGCATCTTCGTCCTGCTGGGTGAGTGAGCAGCTAGGGCTGCAACTTGTGCAAAAAAAAAACTTCCAGAACAAGTTGTTTCTTGTGGTTTTCCTTGAACAAAGCCACCAGTGGCTCCTTGAACCTTTTCCAACAGCTCTTAACCAAATATTAAAAGGGACCAGTTTTACATTTTTATACAGATATTAACGCTGAGGAAGTAATTGATTTAAACAATTATTCAAATTTTTTATGATTTAATTAAAAATTAAATCTTTAAACACCAAAAATTTTTATACTTCCCATTGTACTACAGTAGATTTTTGTTTTGAAAGGAATGACAGCCGCAATTCCAGACTAATGTGGTAGTACAAGTGTTAAAAATATAAAAAATGTATCGTACAAAAATAAAAAAAATTGTACATAAATATTCCTGTAAGGTATTGTGCCTACTTCCAATTTATTTTTTTTTCTTTTCACCAGTGATGATTCTCCTCATGCTTTCCCTGCGGACACATCGTAAAAAGCCCTACCTCTGCGACGAGGAGGAGAACGTGCATGAGAACATCGTTCGCTACGACGACGAAGGCGGTGGTGAGGAGGACACTGAGGCCTTTGACATCGCCGCCATGTGGAACCCCCGGGAAGTGCACCACCCTCTCGGCAAGATACGGCAGGACATGATGCCGGAGATCGAGAGCCTGTCGCGCTACGTCCCTCAGCCGTGTGTGATCGGCGTGGGCAGCGGCGAGGACAGCAACGTCCACGGCTACGTGCTGGCGAAGCTCCTGGAGGCCGACCTGGACCCGTGCGCGCCGCCGTACGACTCCCTGCAGACGTACGCGTACGAAGGCGAAGGCTCGGTGGCCGAGTCGCTCAGCTCGCTGCAGTCGGGAACATCAAATGCCGACCATGAGTACGACTACCTGAACGACTGGGGCCCACGCTTTAAAAAACTGGCAGAGATGTATGGAGTGCTGGAGACAAACACGCCTCCCATGTGGTAGGAGAAGAAGGAAGGCAAAACACAAATGAGAAGACAAAGCTGGGACGCCCGTATTCTACATCCGAAGGCTGGATTATCAGCAGCCTTAAAGGCCTTCTCGCCTGCAGAGGCAGTCTGAGCTGGGTTTAAATCTTCTTCAAAGATGGGCTGGGTTTTTGAGCCTCATGGGGCCCGGTAGAGGAACAGCTTCAAAGCACATGTTAACCCCCTCCTTGGGTCTGAAACACCCAGAGACAGAGCCCCTTTGGTTCAAAGTGTTTGAGCTGGAGATGATAATTCCCTGCACCACAGAGATGTTTTCTTCTGAGAGAAAGTCAGTGTTTTGATGTGTTTTTGGTCCTAATTTACTCGTTTGTTTCAACTTTTGTATTTATGTTTTAATTTATTTGGGTTCTTCAACTAGCACTGTGCGTAAACTTTAAAATCACATATGTTGTGACAGTAGACACCTTCGGTTTTCTAGAAAGGAGCTTTCAATGCTTCTTAAAGTCACACCCATTGGTATAAATTACTGGATTGGACATTGCATTACTATCGTGTCAGTCACTAGTGCACTGCAGCTGCTGTAATTTCTAAAAGTTCAATAAACGACAGAAGCTGAGCTAAATGCCTTTTTTGTTTGCAGAATGTCACAATATTCATAACAATCATCAAAATGGATTAAGTATTTTGTAAAGTAAACCAGCAATTTATGTAAAATTAAACTATAAAGAAGAAATTTGTTTAGTTCTCTCTTGCATCTTGACTGAATAGAGAGAAACTAAACTGTCTACCAATGTGTATTTAGGGAGAATAACATACTGTACATATTAAAACATTTTCAGCTTTAAATTAAGACATTCATAAAAATCAGATAAGAAATAAGTCTGTTTCCATTTCAAACGTGGGCTAAACTTCTTCAATGTTCTCCTAATGTCAAAAAACCCACAATTTTGCAACTTCGGTGTTTACATTAAATACGAACACAATTAATACCTGACTAAGATTGTTCACAGGAGCAGTCCTGAAAACTCATGCCATGCCTTCATCCTCCTACTACTACTTCCTGTCGTCTTCTTTGTCGATTCTGCCAGTAGTAACATCCAGTTGTTGATGTGATTCCTGTGATTGCAAAAAAGGTGTTTCCATTGCAGTTTTACGAAATAAACTAATTTCAATACAGCCAAAGAAAGTCACTTGATGCTAGTGCAAAAACTTATTAATTATAAAAAAGAAGTATTTCTTTTTTCTGAAATTGCTATGTTTCCATTAAGCAAATCTTTGACCACACTTTTGTGGTCAATGGAAACACAACTGGTACGGCTTGTGGACATGACTCAGTGTACAGAAATGGCAACACTATCTATACCAGCTGATAAGTGATGTCCAATCCAGTGATATACATTGACAGTAACGCTGTATTCTCTTATGGGTCTTCAATGTGTTTATTGTGATACTGTCTGTCATTTTCACCCCTTTGTATTAATTCCCAGTTTTCTTGAAAGCATAAAGATGTTGCCCTGAGGCAGGGTAGAGGTTTATCTTGACAGAAATCTGAACGAGCACACGACCAAGTCGCCTTTCGTTTCCGATCCCACCGCTGTGCCAAACGGAGTCCGACAGCGGAGAGGCTCCAACCGTCACTTTGCTTTTCTCTGGTGGAACCCTCCAACCGTTTGGGCTGCAGGGACACTGATCAACCTGCAATAAGTGCCAAATGTATAAAGAACAAAAAAGACTTTTAAGGAAAAAAAAAATCCAAGAGACGGAAACACCAAAATATGAGAAGGATTTTAGAAATGTAAAAAGTGCTTTTTCATTATTGAATTGGGCAAATTTACTTGAATTCAATACGGTGAGTCATACCACACCAAGTGGTGTGTAAATGTAGATATTTTTTGTATTCTTGTTAATAAAAGCTTTTTTTTTAAAAATGTTTGTTGTTGAACAATAACTAAGCCAAAGTTTAGAGTGAGCACCTCCATAAAAACACCACAAGCAAAGACATCAGCAGTGGTGTTCGGGGGCAACTGGGAAATTATTTGATGTTCAAAATTTACCCAGTCCAAAAATACTTTGATTACGCAAAGAGGTATGAATTCTTAGTCCTTGAAAAGCTCTTGACTTATGGTTAGCACTCTTTAGCCTTGTACACTAACGGTTAGTGCTGGACTCATTGTTTTAGGAATTCCATTGTCGTCCATTTCCAGTTTTAGAAGTGGTCTCCAGTCCGCTTGGCGTTCACATAGGTATCCGAACTGCACCAGAATTCACTTCATCCGAGTATAAACTTATGTTTGTAGGCAGATCAGAGATTGCTTTTCGGGTGATTATGCATTCAGACATTGCCAAACGAACCAGACTTTTAAATCAAATGCACTGGAGTTAGATTAAAGCAGGGCTGGTATGAATGCCTATTAGAGTTGAGGGGTAACCACAAACTTGGTTGGTTTTGCATTAGTCAAGAGATCCTGAAAACATTCTGATCTTTAAACGTTTGACATGACTGGATTTTGATATAATTAGCTTGTTTTTGCTACCGTTCCCCAATGACAATATGTGGAAAAGAAAGTTAAACTTTTTTATATAGTTTGAATGTCATTTTGTAGTTTCCCAAACTATCAAAAATGAGAAAGAGGATCTGCACTCACTTCTACTGTATTCTCATCTCTTCAGCATACATCTCATCATTTTTCAGCACATACAGCTCACATCCTGGAGCCTCTTTCCTCCTCAATGCCCCGCTCTGCGCCATCTAGCAGTATAAATTAATCCCTCACATCCAGATGCAACACCATAGCATCTTCTCCTTCACATTTGCCCCGCTGTCGACTTCTCCCACGGCCATTTCCAGGAAAGAGCTTTGCCACCGAAAGGCTCTGTGGGGCTAATTTTGTCTTAAGCTCCACTGCTCTCCCTAACAGACAATGGAGCTCAAACGCTTTACGATAATAAGAAGCCTTGCAGCTCTAATCCTACTGAGGGTAAACCGCAGCAAACCCACTGAATCATCCCCTAATGCCGAATAGAAAAACACTTCGCTCTGTTGGAAATTAGGGGGCGGAAAGAAAACTCCCAGGCTCTGGAGACAAGAGCAGGTCAAGCCAATCTGACACATGAAGAGTGAAACGTATATTTGTCTACATTTTTCCTCCAAATATTCTCTTCCTTCTAGCAAACACAGTATATTAGTACACACATCTCATACAAATGGTCAAATATGCCGGTGGAGGGTTGATGATTTGAGCTGATTATGTATTCATGGGACAACGACAACTTAAGGTGTTTTCTCACCGGTAGATTTGGTTCAATTGGAGACTAAACTTGCAGTTTGTTATATTTTCAGCTGCTGTAATTAAGATTACATGATAAATTAAATATATACATGTAATTTTTTTCTTGGTTTGTTTGATTTTTGTTTTTTTGGTTTTTGGTTTTTCCCATAAATATTGCTAGTGGAACTTCAAAATATAATCAGACATTTTTAATTTTTATTTCAGCTGTGTCAGTCCTCACTACAAAAATGTTAATAATGTTTACTATCGTTATATTTATAGATATGACTATGGTGTAATTTAGATTATTTTATGAATTAAAAATTAGATGTACATATATTCTTTTTGTTTACTTTTTGGTTTTTTGTGATATTGTTAGTTGTAGGTCAAAATATAGACAGAAACATTTCGTTATTTCAGCCGTTTCAGTCCTCTGACTTCAGTAGATAACCAGATATAGATTTCCTATAAAAGGCTTCAGTCTCTCCAGGGTTTGTCCTTAACGTGTCTGCTCTGTCCTTCATCCGATCTGAGCAGGACATTGAGACAGAAATAAATGTCTGAGTAGCAGCAGCACCTTTTTGTAAGACTCTGAACTCCTGTGTTTTAGTTTGGGGGAAATATGAATATTTCATTCTGCTAAGGCAGTGCCCTGCAGCTATTTCACACAAATTAAAAACCCATTTCCTTTCATTACATGAGAACTTAATTCTATTAGTTCCACGGGAAAACATTTCAGCCAGGCGGCCAGGTCTGAGGAGGATTTAAGGGGCAAGAAGTCCTGATAAAGTGCTTCAGAGGTCAGTCGCCATCGCCGGGTGAAGGAAAGGGCGGAGGATTCGCCTCAGGCTACGCCATCAAACAGGAGGATGAAGAGCAGGAGCTGTCATCATCGGTGTGGGATTACAGGATTTCACAGGGGAGCTGCCAGCAGACGTCACTCTGCATCCTCCAGCACTTCACAGGAAACCAGCAGCAGCATGAAGCTGCTCTCTCTAAAATAAATCTTTATCTTCTGATTCACCTCATTCAGAAAGTGGAGTTTTACCAATTACTCATTCCATTGTGAATCCAAATTGATCGGTAAAGCAATGATCTTCAGAAATTTCAATCTCAATTTTGGGACACAACTAAATCTGCTAAAATAACAAATTTCCTAGACGATAAATTGTCGCAGATGTTACTGCGATGAACTTTCATATTCTGGTTTTGAGACCATTTTCAACTACTTTAATGGTAATAATGGCATGACAATGAAAAAACACATTTTCAAAGATCAATACATTTTAAATTGCAATGAACCTTTATTTTCCTAATTTTCAAAACTCAAAAGTTTTAACTTTGGGAGCTGAGAATTTTCCACGTTTTTTTCTAGAAAATTTTCTGATATTAATCTAAAAATTTCTGATTTTTTTGACAGAAATTTACTTCTTTTTTTTCTACAGCAACAATAATATCCCATTTTACATATGGCATTTTCTGGCAATATAACTTTTTTTCTTAGAATAGACTAATTTATTTTATGTTACCGCTGCGAGTTAGGCAAGATTCAGTTTCAAAAGATTCCTAAACAACAAAGATATTCATCTTGAAAAGAATAAACGGAAACATGTCAAGAAAATAATATATTGTTAAATTACTTTTTTTTCTTTTATGAGAAAACTGGTGTCACAATCTATTTTGTCTTCCCCATTCTTCTCAACAACTGATCTAAATGTTATGCTTTTCCAGTTTTTCCATCCTAAGATCTTCTGAGACAGAGCAGCAGTTGTAACAGCTGGATAAACCTGCAGGTCTGTCTGATAGATAAGTCCATCCACTGAAGTCCGGATAAAGCCGGATTTGGGGTCAGAAATTGCTTATCTAAACACAGAGCTGCATGACACCTGCTCTGAGAATTACACATTTTTGTTGTGAGCGTAGCCTCCTTTAATCTGTCACGCCACACATCCAGCCTCCATGGTGCATTCATTAAGGCGGAGAGGCGTAAACAGATCGATGGCTCTCGGGGAGGCAGACATGCAGGCTCGGATGCTAGCAGTAGCAGCTGCTACAGAAATATGAATCAGGTGTTACTGACACTGCTGAAATACTGTAGCACCAGTAGGAATGTTTCACATCATGAGCTCCATTCAGCTCAAGAGTGTACTAATGACAAAAGGTGCAGAAAAAATAATATATTTGTAGGAGAATCGCAATTTCTAGTCCTGGGAATTTTTCATTTTAATATATAAAAAATATTTCTTTCTTGTCCTAATTAATGTTAGGACAAAAAAGTTTGCATTTTGTTTAAAGGTAAATTATGTAGATTTATAAAACATAAATGCACTACGACTGGCTCTGTCCCGACAAATTTTTCTGGAAGATGAATTGTTCCAGAAGTTATTGCTATAAACAACAACAACATTATTGTTTTGATACCATTTTCAAGTAATGTAACACTAATGGCATACTGATGCAAGAACACATTTTCAGAGATCAATAAACTTTAACTTCTATAGACGATGACATTTCTACATAAGAAAATGACTAAATTAAGGCTGCACAATCGGTGCAAAGACTTTTTGGAAAACAAAAACAATAGCTAGCTAACATATTCTAAATGTTATAAACTTGCATTTTTCATACTAATGTAATATTTATCCAGTTGGACAGAGTCTCATGGCAGATGTTCACACCAGACACTAATGACGTTACCCAAACTGCTAAAGGTCACAGAGTGATGGAAGCAGAGATGACAAACAGAGAAAAGAGGAAAATAGCCAGCTGATGTCACCAATGCAAGATTTCCTGACACTGACGTTTATTTTATTTGCCACTTGGAAAAAAATTAAAAAGGAAAAATTGTTTCCAACAGTGCAAGGAATCTACGGTACCACGCTGAAATTTGAAGTCCAGAAAGGCAACAATCCTAACAGCTGCAAAAATGTGGAGTCCCCACAATAGTTTTGGAAAACAACAAGTGAAAACAATTTGGAAAAGAAACATCAAACAGAGGGACTGCAAAGAGATGTCATACAGACACGTTGACACATCCAGAAGTTTTGCGCATGTGCACAACGCTGCAGGATGAAAAGACAATTTTTTTACAATCTCATTAAAATAAAGCCTGGAGATGTATGTATTATTAACATAAGAAGCGCACAGCATAGATGAACAGTGACTAAGAGACCAACAAAAAGAAAATATTTTGACACCAATGAGCAAGAGAAAGATAAATCAACAAAATGGCTGTCAAAATCACCCATATGAGACAGATAATGAAAAAATGTCTAAGAATGTGGACAAGTTGCCTTCGATCTCATAAAATGAAATGGTTCACTACTTAGTGGACACGAAGACTGCGTACACCATGGAGGAGCTTCAAGGCCTGAAACCCACTGACCAAATAATAAACATTTAAACAGCTTTGTAAAGGACGTACAAACTCTGTGTGAATGACAAGGTTCTGACTGGCAGAGTAAGTCCATGTACTAACAAAGCCACACATACGTCTTAGCGAGCAAATAAAAAATACATTAGCTAAGGTAATTTTGCTAGTTCAGAAGTGCAACAGTAACTACTTCCTTATCTTATATTACACAGAGCTGGGTACAATACTCAAAGATTGTAATCAAATAACAGTTATAATGTACTTAAATTGTTTTTAAG